AACCGGGCATTGGTTTTATTTTCGTATAAAAACTGGACACTATTTTTTGGTAGTTTAAAACATATAGTAAATTTGTGTTTAAACCACATTTTGGGTCATTTGGATACACGATATAAATTTGGTTTCGTGTAAAAACTGGACATAAATTTCTGGGTTTATGGGCGTTATTGCTCATCTATTCCTTTTCTTTTTTATTGTATCGACCTATGGAGGCATCCATAACCGGAGATTTTTAGATACTTTTACCATGACCTTGAGAATGGCAATACCTTCGATATTTGTAGACTCCAAGTTCTAACCCAGATTCATTATTGGAAGCACGTAGATGACCTTAGATCAAATTATATAGGAAAGGAAACACAAATAGTTTTAAGGTGAACATGGAAAACTGTAGATAACATTTGGTATCGCATCGGGTCTAAACGGGTTCTATTAGGCTCCATACTTCGTTGTAGAAATTAACTCGGCGATCACGCCTTTATAAAGCTTGCAAGAAATTTTCCGAGACTTTGAATTTCTCGGCACCTTTCCTGTTGCCACCAGTTTGACCACAAACGGAGTAGGAGGTGCATACGTCTAGGACAGCGATTATATTTGTCTATAATCTTGGAGTTGAATTCGTGCAACTCTAAGATATGCTAAGTTTATCCTTTGGAATAAGTTTTAGTTAGGCATCGCAAAAGAATGCCACCTAGTGGAACAAGAACCTCAATAAGCTTCGGCGAAAGGCCGGGAAATACTTCCCCGCATACAACATCTAACTCTGAAGATCCCAACAGGCTTCTTGCCGGGAGCACTATGGGGTAGTCTTGTTCCTGTTTGTCTACAGTAGGCCCTCAGACTGTACCATTCGAATGGCCTTTAAGTTTTAAGAAATCAGACCGGACCTACGCTGATACCCCGGAAAATGAGAGTAGAGTTTGTTTAAAAACTCACTTTCCAGGCTGTATTCCTCAAATAGCAAGCTCTTTCGTAAGCACAGCGAGGCTTAGCGAGAAGTGTTGTCAATTGGGAAAGATTTCAGTGCAACATTACAACTTTGAGTACATACAAGTCCTCTGAACTAAATGGTATTTAACCATTTATGATGCACCAGAACGGAGGGGATTCATATTCACCTTAGCCAGAATAGAATTATAGTTGCTGCTTACGTACTATCATCTTGAAAAATGGTAAACATGTATTCATACCCAATGCGTACTTACATAATCCCACATAGGCGTTAATACCGATAAGCCTCAGCTCCTCTCTCATCACAAAAACTAATTGACTTTCCCTTTAGAGGGACGTGCCTCAAGGTCAAGCCATACAATTATCCGAAAAAGACTTAAAGTTTGGTACACTAATGAATGCAAGCTTTATAATGGCATTACTAGCGCCGACATCATTTGAACATTGATTTCAGAAAAGCACTTATACCTAACCACATTCGAGGTGGAAAGTTTTGCAATTCTGAAATTTGTGCCCGCATAAGTTTGTCTGTATCGAAGGGTTAATTAAGTAAACATCACATCAAATTGCAAAGCAGCATTAGAAGCCTGAGACACATGGAGAACGGTGACAGGGTTAGTAGGAAAACTTTTTGTTGGACAAGATTACACTAGAATAGATTTAGAGGAGGGAGAAGATCAAAACAATGTATTGTAACAAACCTCTATACGACTACAGAAGTTCTGTGATCCACGTATTCCTAAGAAGCCTTGCGAGGTCCTTGGTCTGAATGCCATTTAGGTCGTGGACTTATAGGAACGATGATCCTAAGGAGCGAAGTCTGGTTCTAACGAACGCTTCGCTGTGGTACATAATGTGCTTTGCTCTTTCTGTTTTTCGTTGCACTACCTACACTGATCAGAGTTACCAGCTCCTATGTTTGACAAATTTTTAAATAGTGGGCAGTAAGAAAACTTGTAACAATTCTTATGTCATGCTCAGAGAGGGGAAGGAGTTCTTTGGTCCTGCTTGTTGATATATCCGGAATGATGGTACTTAGCCTGTCTCATACCGTCCGTATATGTCCAGTAATTTTGAACTTCGTTCTTCATCCAGATATAGTAGTTGCGCCTAACGGAGTTGCATGCCAGATCAGTAAGGGGTCAAGAGCCTATGAATCCCTGTGCAGTCCCTTTTCTGGCGAGAATATCAGCCACTTTATTGCCCATTACTTTACTGTGTCCCGGTACACATATGAAGTTTAACCGGTTCCTGGATGCGATAAGTATTAAAAGTCCCATACCAGCTTTCAGGTCCAAGTGTATGTAGATGTGTTTGGTGGTTGCCCCACTTTCTACATAAGTACTGCCTTAGACATAGTTCAATGGAGTGCACCTCGTGCCACGCTGGTGGAAAGAAGCCACCTGGGTTGCATGTCGTGTGCATGTGTTTGGTGGTTGCCCCACTTTCTACATAAGTACTGCCTTAGACATAGTTCAATGGAGTGCACCTCGTTCCACGCTGGTGGAAAGAAGCCACCTGGGTTGCATGTCGTAACCTCCTGCTTCGATTCCACGGTCAGTCTTGGAGCCATCAGTGTAACAGACGTGGTTGCCTTTCCGGGGTTTAGGACGTTCTTTGTCCTGTCGAAGCAAAAGACTTTGAAGTTCTGTGTAAAGTTAAATCTCGGCCAGGCCCACAAAGCTATGCGCGAGCCGACCTTCTCGTTTTATAACTCTGAGGTTTGAAGGGTGTATAAGGTTCTTGTTTTCTACATTGTTCCCTGCTATGAGCTTTGCTGTAAACAGTGGAAACAGTGGGCCGCATGCGTAAAAAATGAGCTTAAGCTCAGACTGAGTTTTTTGCATTGAGCAAGTGAGCTCAAGAATTTGTACAGAAAATCGAGTCGGAGCTAAAGCACACTTTTTATGCATGAGGCCCGATCTCTTGATTACAATGTGTAGGGAAGGCAAGTCAAAAAACATCTCAAGAGCCGCGGTTGGTGTTGTTCTCATCACGCCAGTGATGCCCACGCAGCCTAGTTGTTGTAGCTTACTGAGCCTGCCCTGAGTGGATGTCACTTCTGCCATCTTCTATCAGACGGGTGTAGCATAAGTTAGAATGGGTATGGAGAGATATCATATATCTACAGCAGGTCCAGAGAGAGACTCTGGCATTTTCAATACTTTTTGTCTAGGTGCGGATTCCATTAGAGCTTGTCATCAAGGATAGCCCCTAGATATTTGACCTCTTTGGAAAAGTTCATATTTTCTCCTTGATGGACGGTTCTAGTAATTTACCCCTCTTCCTTTTTTCGGAAGAGTGCATCTTTCCTCCTTGATGGAATGGTTCTAGTATTTTTCGCTCTTCCTTTTACTGGAAAAAATCACTATGGTAGTCTTGTTGGCATTTACATATAACCCATTATTACTGCACCAATTGGCGACTATGTTTAGAGCATTCTGTGGAGGCTTAAAGATATTGTCTTCGAACCTACCTCTGACTAAGATGAGAATGTCGTCCACATAGACAAACCAGCAAACCAAGCGCGGATACTCTTACAAAATGCGGATCCCACGGGGCCTTTATCGCTGTTAGTTTTTCTGTGACCAATACAAGGGATACACGACAGAGCTTCTAGGGCTTTCAGGTGGATACTCGCGCTTATTGCGGAGCACAGCGCAGCTTTTGTAGCCGTCAGCTGTTGTGTGACCCATCCGAGCGATGCACGATAGAGTTTCAGTTGTCAGCTGGAGTCCATCTGGCGTTTGTTAAAATGTAAAAGGCCAACTCTGGGTCTTTCTTTCTTGGAAGACGAACTGCCGGCGCTGTAGTCTTCTGGAGGAAATAGCGTTAGAATTACACACCTTCGAAAAACTGTTATCGGCAACATTCAGAATATCTCTTCTAAAGTGCTTAATTTTAGAATAGGCTAAGGTTGGATTGATGTCCTGAGGGTTAAAACAATGGATCTAGCTAGACCCCGATAAGGGGATAACTTTATTAACCAAAATTAAGCGTCCTAGCCAAAGTAAATACTCGTAGTAATTTGGAGTACTTTAACCCCAGATCGGTGGAGCTATTCTCCAACGAGTTAGCGACAATTTTCGGATTGCTAGATCGAGTTACCGACGAGTATTATATATGCAGCAAGGTTGCAATAGCGATACAATATTTGTCGCTTGAGAATAGCCCCATGGGTTAGGGTAGCAAAAAAAAAAATTCCCAGTGTATCTCTCTAAACGCTGCAGGAATTTCCTTCAAGGTAGCATATATGTAAGTATAGTAAAAGTACGCTCTCGACAGTGCTAGAGTCCTGCACGTCTAGTGGTCTAAACAAAGTCATGTAAGAAAATAACAACAAGAAATATAACAGCAACAAGCAGTCGAAAGAGCGACTGAAAGGCAAAATGAAGAAGTAATTCCGTGCTTGTACAAAGATACGTGTATAGTTTGTTGGAGAATGCGACCAAGACCGGTCAAGTGGACACTCGCGATAACAACCACAAAGTGGACGCGAATGAAGGTAAAGCAAGTACGTGGAGAGTATACGTAAATATGTAGTACAAGAAAGAAAAATATTCAAATTTTATCGATTTCATGATTTTCGTGAACTACTCCAGTTAGGCGAGCACAAATACGTACATACCTGCATATTGCACATATAGAATATGTATTGGTATGTGTGTTTATGAATACTTTTTTAATTAACACAAATATTTGCAATGCAAAACAAAATGAGCTCCAGCTACACGCTATGAAATATAATCACGAAAAGAAACATTTGAAAGAAACTTGGAGGTGAGCGAGCGAGATTTAGGGAGCCCGCAGTGATTAAGCGATAGAGGGAAAAATTATAAGCATAAAATTAGAGTAGGTTAATGGTAGCGACGACGAGGTCAACATACAATAAAAGAGTATTTAAAAGTGCGGCAGTTGACATTTTTTTGTTTGCCACACTACAATCAATGCACACGCGCTCGAACTTACACACACACACACTCATAATATTTTAATGTTTCACGACATGTGCTACTAAAATTTGTGTAGAGAAAAATCTTTCTGCTCACCTTGAACGCCTTAAAGGAGGACACCACATAGGACGCGCCATCTTCCAGCTCATCCAAATGATACTTGCGATCACCATCCATTGAGAAGACATACCTTGCACCACGCGGCAAATCCATTTTCGGCGAAATCTTATCCAACAAACTATCCAGCGAGGTTATATCACGTCCTGGACGATAACGCAACTCAACGCCAGGAAAGAAGGGATCACCATTGCGATAGAAGACCACACGTCGCGCCTTCCAGTACGAAAGATTATTATAGCGACTAGCGGCGCTCATTGCGGAATTCAGTTGCGCATTGGATGATAACTCTGGCCGGGATTTGGAGCGTATCAACGGCACCACAGGCGGTTGTTCGGAATTCTCACTCATATTATCAATGTATGTGGGACTGAGCGCACGACTTTGCCGGCCACTTGCTGGCCCGCCGACAATACCGTTACGCTGTTGCCAATAATCACCAATCGGTCCACCACCACCTATGCCACCAGCTGCACCTTGTAGCTCATAATCTTCATTGTCACTGTCGTCCTGATGATGCCGCTGCTGGTGGTGTTGTATGGTATGAAAGCTGCTGCCGTCACGTCCAATGCCGCCGCGTGGACTCTTAAGCGGACTACTGCGATTGCTGCCGCCGCTATTATCGTGTGGATGATTACTATTACTGTTGTTGTTGTTGTAGTGATAACCGTTGGATTTCGTGTAGTTAGCGTTAGTGTTGTTGTTGTTGTTGCTGCTGTTATTATTATTATTCGATTCGTTAAACTGTTTGACCGCGCCGTATGCTGAAACGTTACCATCGAACTGTGCGGCAGAACTAATTTGTGCCGTTGCGTTGCCATCGTCCATAGCTGTTGGTGGCTGTGACTGTGCCCGTGCCGGTGGTGAGGTTGTTGGTGCTGGTGAAGGCGAAGGCGAAGGCGCTGGCTCGTTAGCTGACACACCGTTGGCCATGTTGGATGGCTCTGCAGCCCCATCCCCAGCTTCGTTGGCGGACATTTGCGACAAAAGGGTGTTGCTGTGTACTTTATATGGGATTGATATTGTTGTTGTTGTTGTATTTAATCGCCCACTCACACTGTGCTGGCAGCTTAGATTTCCATAAGCGTTTGCTGCAAATTCTTGTGGTATTTCTAAGCACTGCTTTGCTGCGAGAACCCTCACAGATCCTCGCCGAATATGGTTGAGTTTTTAGATGTTTTTTCTCCCTCTTGACTTTTGACTTTGTAACTGCTATTGAAACATTCGTGCCACGCTCACATTTACGTTTTCTCTACTTTTTTTTTACCCTGCCACCTTAAGACTCTAGCTACCACTCCCGGGTTCCGCCTCACTTTCACTCTCAGTAATTTTTTAGCTCCGACACTACAGTGAAAGTATTTCTCACTTTCGCTTTTTTACTACGCTCTTTAAAGTTTAATTATTGTACTTTATTCCTAATTGCTTCCTCTCTTTTTTAGTGGTTTCTTACGAGTACTTAGTGCAGATATTTTAAGCTCTAGCTTTAGCTAGACGCCAGTGATTGAGAGCGTTAACTCAATGCTTTCACGAAGTGTTTAGCAGCTAACTTTAAGATTTTCTACTCCGGCTGCCGAAGAAGCACGCGGGCACGGTTGTCGGAGCGCGAGCTGCGAACTTGAGAGCGCGAAATGTCTTTTCTTTCAGCTGTTGGCGTTTTTGTTTTTCTTTATTTTATTATTTCTCGAACTGTGCTGCTCTGTTTGTATTGAAGCCAAGCAGATTTTTGCTCCAGCCTTTCGCGCTTTTGTTTACATAAACAATGTGCTCCTGTTGAGGGGCGTGAAAGCAGCACTTGTGAGATTTGGTGTGCGCTGAAAAGTTAAATTTATTGCTGCGTTTTGTTGAAGTTTTTTGTTGTTGCTTACGGTGTTATGTTGCAAACTTTTTTATTTTTCAATTCTTGTTCTTTCTACAATAATATTCTTGAGGCTTGACTCCGGTTTTTTAGTTCATTTTTAGTTTTGTTATCGCCTTGACGAAGTGACTTTTTTTCAGTTTTTGTTGTTGTGTTTTTACTTCTGCCTTTGAGAAATTTCTTTATAGTTCCTTTCTTTACTATATGGCACTACTATGCTTTTTATGCATTTTTTTATTGTTTTTTTTGCACTCTCTTTTACCATATAAACTACAACACCTTCACTTTGTATTGCGGCGAAGTAAATCACTTCCCTCTTTTCCTTTAGTACACTTATACACACATATGCTGCTATACCCACACAGTTTTACCACGTCTTTAACGTATTGTGTTTTGTTGTGGTCTTAAAAAGGTTTTAAATGGTTTCACTGCGATTGCTCGATTCTTCAAAAAACACGCTCACTTTTTTGTTGAGTCATTTTACTTTGGTGCAAACATACAAACAAGTGGACGTACATTACTACCCCTTAAAACCCCTTAACACTCCTTTACCAATATGCTAATTTAAAAAAAAGTTGAGAAAGAGCTCTTAAGAAGTTAAGTTTTTAACAGCAGCAAACTTGCTCAACAGTACTAAAGATGGCGCTGTGGCCGACGGCATGGCTTATGCCATACCATATTGAAATGTCAATTTCTAGTTTTGAAGTGAAACTTGTTTGCGTTCGGTTGAGAATAAATGCGAACATTGCTGCAACGAAAAAGCGACACATTCATTGGGCTCTAATTCCAAACGAAAAAGCTACAGAAGGAAAGAGCGGATGGCGGAGGTGGCTGGTCACGTTTAAGATTAATATTAAGATCAGGATTAAGATTGAGATTTACATTAATAGGGCCTGCCTTTCAACTCACCACAGTCTCTCGAAAGATAACTCTCTTGAAAGCTCTTTATTGTCTTTCGAAAGACTCATTGAAAGATCTGCTATCGAGGAGGTCTTAGCGTTCACCTTTTAGCAATAAAATTTATGAAATAAAATGAAATAGAAAATATATACATATATTTCTCTTCTTAAAAAAATAAAAACTAATAAATAAAGAAAATTAATGAAAAATAACACCAAATAAAAATAAACAAAAATACTTTTAAAAACTAAATGAAATTAAAAACAAGTAAAGAATTTGAAGTTAAATATAGTTTTTTCACCTTTCCGACAAGTACCGTTACATGTTAAGCAATGGTGGATGGACCCCTATTTTAAACATGCCTGTGAAGTTGGCACACGGTATGACGCAAAAAAAAGCTGTTCTGAGTAGCATTTCATTAGTTCTAGAGTTCTAAAAAAGGAAAAGAAAACTCCAGATATTTTTACAAAAAAAAAAAAAAAATGTTTCAAAAATTATGCAAAAGGCAAATAAAAACTGCTCAATATTTCTAGAATTCCTGAGAAGGAAAAAGAAAGTTCTGCAAAATAACGAAGAAAAAAGCATTCTTTTTGAAAAAAATAAAGTATATTCAGCAATTTATTGAGCTTGAGGCCGTTTTTAATGAAAAACTATAGTGGAAAAGTAACAATAATAATAATAATAAAATACTTTTCCATTAAAAACGGCCTCAAGCTCAATAAAATTGTTGAATATAATTGTTATAAGGCCATAAATTATAAAAAAAAAGTAAATTTTTTGTAAAAAAAATAATAACTAAAACTCTTCTGAGTAGCTTATAAAAAGTTCTAGAAATCCTGAGAAGGAAAAAAAAGTTCTGCAAAATTATGCACAAAAAGCCTTTTCTTCAAAAAGTCGAAAATTTAAATTTTTGAAGAAAATAAAAATTAATAACAACAACAAAAAAGTTAAATTTTCGCAAAAAAAAAATAAAAAATTTTAACTCTTCTGAGTACCTTTTCGATAGTTCTACAGTTCATGAGAAGGAAAAAAAGTTCTGCTAAATCACGCCGAAAAACGTAAATTTTTCAACCAAAAAAAAAAACAGTTCTGAGTAGCTTTTCAAAATTTCAACAATTGCACAGAAGGAAAAAGAAATTTCTGCAGAATTACACAGAAACAACATTTTCTTCGAAAAGGTCGGAAAAGTTAAATTAAACAAGTAAGAAA